AAAGCAAAGTGTCTGTATGGGGGCAGAATTGGAAAGACTGGGCTCCCCATGCATGTGTAAGTTTGGATGGTATTGAAACAGGACCAAACTCAATATCAGGAGTTAGACTCCTAGACCCACCTCCTTTTCACACAGCCAGAATACAACCTTCACCATGGTTATGTATTAGAGGCTTATTTTCTGGAGAAGTTAAAGCAAAGGGATTGTAAATTGTAAGAATCCATATACACTGAGAAGGTGCCTCTATAAAAATCAACGGAATTAAATAAATATATATGCAGTAAAACCACACCCACTCAGTGCCTTTCTATATTTGCTTAAGAGAAACTAATAGCCAGGTAGATAGCCCCCAGATAGATGACTACAATAATCCTTTCTGTAGAAAATGATCTCCCAAGGAAAAAATTAAAAGTCTGTAAGTAACAAGGAAAACCATGGGCTCTATTTCTTAACACCTACTATGAAGCCACCTCTCAAAAAGTAACACTCACATAAGCAGTTATAAATATAATATTTAGTCAAATATAAACAAGGATGATGATATATTTCAGGAAAACTTCTAACAGAGACCAAAATAAGTCCACAAAAAAACATTATGAATAGTATCCTCAGAGCGAGGAGAAACAAGAACAGAATGCTACAAAATAAATAAATATTGAGTTTTGGGGAAAGTTATGACACATTTTTGCATAGAAAAAACAGAAAAATGCCATGACTTTTCCCAATGACCTAATATTTACATAAAATCCAATAGAAAGGTTGGAAAAGAAATAGGAAAAATTACTGATAGAATAAAATATTAAGAAAAGTTAAAAGCAAAGAAAACTAAGGATTAAACCTAAAGGTCCAACACTGGAACAATAGGAGTTCCAAAACATAAAACAAGAGAGATATGACGATCAAAGGAACAAATGCTAGAAATTGAAGAAAAATTCCATATTCAAAGAGTGTGATGAATGCTTGGACCAAATTTTTTTTAAAGACAATGTAGAAATTTAAAGAACCTTTTTGTCTAAAGTGCTTCAGAATACAGTGGTCAGCACAACACTTGACAAATCAAGACAACTGAAGTTAGTAAAAATATCCTGCATATTGGATTGTAAACAGCACTTCCCCCAAAAAGTTGTTGCTTTTTAAAATAGAAGGTAAGACTATTTTTTCCTCTTATATTTAAAACTTTTTTCTGCATTTACTTCTTAATTTCCCCTTTAACAATTATTAGTAACTAAGAAATAATGAAATTAGGTAGTTGCTTAATCACTTACTGCCTGTAAAATGCAATAGTAATGCCAACATTATACTGAGAACTTACTACATGAATTGTGTCTTAGGACTATTGTTCATTCATTATTTTAACTCATATAACAGCCCTTTGAGACAAATATTATATTTCTCTCATTTTATAGATGAAGATACAAAGCACAGAGGGGTCAGGTAAAAAGATCACACAGCTGGTAAATGAGAGAAAAAGAATTCTAACCCAGACTGTAGAACTTACACCCTCTTAACCATTATGTTATGTGACTTCTCATTTGGTGCAGTATCCTAAAAAAGACAATATATTGAAAACCAAGCTAATATAATTAAAGTTTAAATAAAACAGGAGTATTTTTGGATAGGTTTCTGCTAAATGATGATATTCCGAGAGTGACATTTTGCCATCTGTGACAGCAGGGAAAATGTCTGTAATCTGATACAGAGAAATCCAAACTTTCATAAATGCACATTTATCAAATTAATAACAAAAGGTGATTATCACAAGGATTTTTGATCTTATAGATATTCGGGGTAAAAAAATAAAATATTGGAAAGTCTAAAATCTTAATCAAGTAAGAACTCCTGTATGTTTGATCAATGCTATCCACAAAAACTAATAAAATTATCAAGGACTTATCTTTTTCACCAACCCATGACCAGTTAAGTTTGACCATCAATGCTGATGTGGCAAGACATTTTAAACCATTACATACTTGGCAAAAAACTACTGATGTAAGTTAAACAGTTCTTTTCTACTTTTGTTAATGACACGACTATTTAATACAATAGTATTGAAAACTTCCTCTATCATCTCTTCTCTAAAGAAAAAAGTCTCTTCCCCAGTCATAAATCTCTAGTCATTCCCCATTGCACAGCAAATAATACCCAAATTCTTTAATCTTGGCATAGTCAAGGTTCAACAGTCTATTTTCAGCACTTTTTCTTATCCCATTATACTCACCAAAGATTAGAACCGAGAGTAGTTCTCTGTACATATTATAATAGTTAAGAAATTGGACTGTAAAATTAGTCATGGATTAAAGTTCCAACTGTCCTACTTATAGCTAAATAATTTTCAAAAGATGTGACTACTACCAGCTTCACTTGCCTAATCTATGCTATAAAAATTTGGGGCCAGAGGGACCAGCAGTTAGTGTAATGGCTATGTCACTGGACTCCCATGTAGCCGACCATGGTTCAAGTCCCAGACCTGGTGGCTTAAACTTATGCTAGACACGTGTGCGTGCATGCCCAAGATCTGGAGAGGAGAATGGAGGAGAAGGATTGCTGTGTGGCCATCTCCTCTGGAGGGTGATTTCTCGCTTTCTGTCTCTCTGTCTCTGTCTCTGTCTCTCTGGTAAGCGCATGTGTCCTATAGCAAAAAAAAAAAAAAAACCCTCTCCAAAAAAAAAAAAAAAAAAATTGGGGGCCAGCAGATGGCTTAGCAGTTATATCACTGGACTCCCCCATGGTCAACCACCATTCAAGTCCTAGACCCAGTGGCTTGAAACTCAAGTCAGGCATTTACGCATGCATGACCAAGATTCCAGGAGAAGAATGGAGAAGTTATTGCAGCATGGCCTTCCCACTAGGGGGGTGATTTTCCGATTTCACTCTCACTGGGTGTGTATCTTCCCCCCACCCCTTGCTCTGGCAAGTGCGCATGCCCTAAGGCAAAAAACCTCTTAAACAAAAATACCACAGAATCTCCTTCAGCATTTTCTCCTGATAATTAAATGAGTCAATGAATATAAAATAGCTGATACATAATAAGGTTTTAATAAATATTAACTACCATTTTTAGCTATCATTTGCTTATGATTTCACTGATTCAAAATAAAGTTCAGATTTCATCCCTTACATAAAATTTTCCTGATTTACTACAAATATAAATGTCACTCTCTTATGAGTGCCCATAGCTATTTATGTGTACTTGTTATTACAGGATATTTCATATTACTATTATATGATACCTGAGATGATAGATAATAGGGCTTTGAACTTATAAAACATATTTAAAACCTAGCTCTGCAACTTCCCAGCTGTGTGACTGGGTTAATCACATAACTTCATTAATCTTCAGTTTCCTTAAATACAAAAGTAGGTATAATAATAACTATATAATAGAGCTAGGTAAGGATAAAATTAACTGCTTGACAGTGACTGGCACATAAAGATAATCAGTAAGTACAGCTATTTTTATGATTACCTTTTTCCTGAGTTATGTACACATATGGCATGCTGTACACACACACATATGCATGTGGCTTATTTATACTGATTTTAAATCATTTTAAAGAAAACATTGCCTTATTCTCATTTGTATTTCTTACAATGTGATGTGCATAATGGAATTTAATAAATACTTATTGAATGAATTATGGAATGAATGAACTTCAAGCTATCATTTCCACTTGACTACCTAGAAAATTTTACTGATAAAAAGGGTGTATGTAATTGTATCACAACGTCATGATTGCTGTTTTGGTTTTCTTTTACATTAACCATTACCAGTAGCTTTAACAGAAATGAAGAAATTTATCAGTGGTTTAGCACTGCCCCCTAAAGATGATAAATAAATTGGCTGTATAATGCCATAATTTTTAACCTTATTTCTTCAAAGATGACTTGGAAAAATTTTATAAAACTAAAAATAATCTTCAACTATATATAAGAAAGAAGCTACATGAGCATAGCTAAACTCAGAGGATTGTTTTATTTCAGATGTGTTTGAATCTTTTTACTGGAGACCTAACTGTATTCATAAAGTTCCAGGAAAAAAAAATGCAAAAATTCTGCTATAGAGAATAGCCACATATATTCTCCTACTGAGAATTCAAGCCACAGTTGGTCATGTGGATTCTAGCTCCCTATGCAAAGGGACTCTTTGAGAGTACTATGAGACACCCCTTCACCTCGCCATCCTCCCCTCCCCCACCAAGTGTACATTGTCAGTGAAGTCAAGGATTTAAGTGTAACACCCATCTGGTCAGTAAGAAAAAAAAAAAGAGAGAGAGAGAGAACAGACCTGGGCCTGGGCCATAGCCTAGTGATTAAGGGAGCCAGATTCCAAAGCTGACCATGGTTCATAATCAAGCCCAGTGGCATAGAGAACATGTGAGGTGCATGTGTGTGTGTGTGTGCTCTAAATCCAGGGGGCACAGGATAGAGAAATAGAGAAGGGACTGCAGCATGACCATGCTCTGTTGGGGGTGCTTTCTCCCTCTCTCTGTCTGTGGAAAGTGTATGTGCCCTCTGGCAATTTACAAAAGAGTGAGAGAGCGAGAACCTAAATTTATATCATTTGAGCCTGCTGGCTTTCTTAGTTATTACATGGTAATTACATAAAATAAATATTGGACTGATTCTACATTATTGCAAAGGAAACAATGACAATTCATTAACACCATGAAAGCACAAATTTGAGCACAGAAAGTACTTTCTATATCAGTCTAACTTGAAGAAATGGAATTTCACAGTAAATTGGTGGTTCATGCATGTGTATAATTTTTCATATAGTTGGAACATATTGGGTCATTGGAAAAGTCAAGACACATTTTGCATAAAAAAAAACACATTATGACTTTTCTGACAACTTGATATATATGTATCTATAGGCATGTGAGGAGACCTCAAGAGATTCATGGAAAAATCAAATTAAAGAACAAATTTATTTTGGTGCAAAAATTTTGAAATCCACACTTTTTTTTCAAATATGCATTTTGTTTGTTCATTTTAAGTTACACAGTACTAGGATAGAATGGACAACCTCAGTATCTTCTGAAGATAATACATTTCTATCACCAAAATTTCTTTAGCAATCCCATTTCCTTTCACTTCTGTCATACCATGCAGAGGTGGTGATTGAATTTGCACATATAATATACATTTTTCTTGAGCTTTGTGAAGATCCCTTGTACGCGGCATTAAAAATATAATTATTTGATAAGTATGCATAATCGTGCTTTATAATTTATAAAATGCTTTTGGATACAGAATAGTTTAATAAAGTTAAGATTATCCATATATTACAAGTGAAAAAGATTGATGCTTAAGATGTTACCCAACTTGCAAGATAATTCCAAAAATGAGGCTGTATTATAATCCAAATCCTATCATTTTTAGGTCCTATTATCTTTCTAACACACCACAGAAGCAAGCTCCTAATTACTAGACCTCTTCAAAGGGCAGCAGATAATCAAGACATTCAATAGAACTATCAGCGCAAAGGGACGAGGCAAAAAGAATCGGGCAACTATCAGAAGTGGAGATGGAAACAAAGGACAACTTGGGAAAGGTCAGCAACATGGACTACCATATAATGTAGGCACAAGACTTCGTCTTTATTTTTCAAAAAATGAAATCACTTTATTGATTTCTAATGAAATTTAAATTAATACATGTCTATTACAAAACGAAAAAAAAATGAATCATTCAAAATGAAACATTGTAAAGGAGAAAATGAAGTGATCCTAACCTCACTCACACTATCAACATTCAATATTTGACCTTCCAGACGTTACACACTTCACCAATGACATTTTTAAGATAACCTCATAAATTTACAGTTCTAAACAAAGGATGCATACCCCCTTTTTGAACTTTCTATGGACTGTCAATGTTATCTTGAATGTATTCTCTACATAATGACTAGAGAACATATTTTTTTCATATGAGAACACAAACTTTCAGCTCCTGGGGGACCAGCAGATGGCACAATGGCTATGTCACTGGACTCACCTGTAGTTGACTGCAGTTCGAGTCCTCGACCCAGTGGTTTAAACTCATGCCGGGCACATGTGCGTGCGTGCCCAAGATCCCAAGAGGAGAATGGAGGAGAAGGGATTGTGGTGTGGCTATCCCCCCCGAAGGGGTGACTTCTCGCTTTCTGTCTCTCTGTCTCTCCTTTTGGTGAGTGCACATGCTCTATAGCAAAAACCTCCTCCTCTGGTCTAATCCTCAGTATTGTTCCTTCCTTAGAGGTGTTTCTTTTTCTGTCTCCCAGAGTTTCACTCTATCCATTCATAGATTGATGTTCAGCTAAAAATTCAAAAATAGGCAGTTCCCTGGACCTCTGTGTAGTACCCTCATTTCTATCCCTCTGCCTACAAATTCTGGCAGGCTCAGTTTTCCCCAAGTCCAATCTCTGCATTTTCACTGCAGTGAAACTACTTGACTCTGTCTCTGATCTTCTTCATGCTGTCTTTAGGAAATCATATCTGGGCAGAAAGCTGAAAAAATAGTAGCATATACTTCTATTTATTTTCTATCAGAGACTGTGGTCCTCTCTCCTATCCAAACATGAAAATGTATTTTTAACATATATTTGTCTATTATTCTACTAGTTTACAGAAAGAATTATTCCTTACCCTGTTATTGCCTCATGTAAGTTTGCCAAAAAAGACACTGTTTAAACTAAGATATATATATATAGATAGATAGATAGATAGATAGATAGATAGATAGATAGATAGATAGATAGATAGATATAGATATAGATATAGATATATAATTCATATTTGGCTCTCCAGTTTAAAGTTCTCTTCTCTTCTTACATTATTCTAGCTAAATCATTTCACACCCTCTATTCTGTAAAAATTTATTAAGTTTCTTAGTGTTTATTCCCTTTCTCATACTGTAAATGACACATTAATCACATAAAATGAGTCTTTCCTTCCATAGTCATGCTTTCTTGCAGTTTCATAATTTCCAGATAAATGCATGGTCCAGGGAAAATAATCTCACCTGTCACATAATAGTTATCCAGTTACTATTTTAATGAATGTACATACCACTTAAAATCAACCTGATCTTGTAAACATAATTCCACTACCACTTAAATTAATTTAATTAAAATTATATTTATATCCAATACTTCAAACAGATTTATTTAAGTGTATTAACTACTTATTGATCAAAACTACTGTCTACAAAGCTAAACTTGAGGAATAGAAAAGAGAAAGATAAACATGTCAAGAGCTCTTAATGCAAAGTATAAAAAGCTCAACACAAGGTATAAAAAGGTACACGTAACTATACCATAAAAGTATGCTAAAAGCATAAGAATTACAGAGCTCTGAAACAAGATATTAGGAGAACATAAAGAAGGAATTATTCCAACAAGAAATAGTGAAGGAGAGAATTGAGAGTGCTTGCATTGTTACCTCATGAGGTAAAAATTCTGACAAAAGAGGGAATGGGAATGAGGTAGAGGATTGCATGACCGCAGCAGTATCAGTGTACTTGCCTGTTTAGTAAATCAATATGTGAAGAGGCAGGTGGGGTGATGAGACAGAAAAACTGAATAAAGGCTCTGCTGTAGAAAAATGAGTAGTTTAAAACAGGTTCAACACTTGTCAAGCTCCTAAATCTACAGTGACCAAAAGCCAGAAAGCCATGGAAACCAATGATGAGTACATGAGTTTTCATAATCTATGGGACACAGCAAAAGCAGTCATAAGGGAAACTCGTAACAATTAGTGCACATAAGAAAAAGATGGAAAGTTGACAAATGGACAACCTAACATTATGCCTCAGAGAACTGGAAAAGCAACCACAAAAAGATTCAGAAAACGCCAGGAGAAAAGAAATAATATAGATTTAAGTAGAAATAAATGAAAAAGAGAATAAACAAACTGTACAGAAAATAGATAAAAGCAAAAGCTGCTTGTGTGAAAAGATAAACAAAATTGACACACCACTAGCTATTCTAATTAAGGAGAGAGAAAGTAACCAGATAAATCAAATTCGCAATGAAGCAGGCAGTATAACAACAGACATAATAGAAATACAAAACATGATTAGAAGATACTATGAACAACTATATGGCAACAAACAAGAAAACCTGGATGAGATGGACAAATTCCTGGACACATATAATCTACTAAGATTGAGTCAGGAGGACAGAGAAAGCCTGAATAGGTCCATAACAAGCAATGAGATTGAATCATTAATAAAGAAAGAACCTCCCAACAAAGAAAAGCCCTGGTCCTGATGGCTTCACCTCTGGATTGTACAAACTTTTAAAAAAGAGTTAACTCCCCTTTACTCATGTTATTTCTAAGTATCCTAAAGGATGGAACTCTCCCAAATTCATTCTGTGAAACCTCCATCATACTTATCCTTAAAACAGACTAAGATGACAAGGAAGGAAAACTATAGACCAATTATCTCTGATTAATACAGATGTAAAAATTCTCAACAATATACCAGCAAATCCTATCCAACAACTTATTAAAAAGATTAAACATCACAACTAGATAGGATTTATTCCAGAGATGCAAGGGTGGTTTAACATACACAAAACCATAAACGTAATACACCACATTAACAGAAAGAATGAAAAAAAAACATATGCTCACATCAATTGATGCAGAAAAAGCATTTGATAAACTACAATATCCCTTCGTGATTAAGACTCTCAGCAAATTGGCATAGAAGGGTCATTCCTCAACACAATAAAAGCTATCCATGAAAAACCCATAGCTAACATCACTCTGAGTGGAGAAAAGCTAAAAGCTTTCCCACTAAAAACTGGTATAAGACAAAAGGCATATGAGAAAATGCTCAACATCCCTCAAGAGAGGGGAGATGCAGATCAAAACTACAATGAGATACCACCTAACCCCAGTCAGAATGACTAAGATTTAAAATAATTTTATATATATATATATATATTTATATATTTATATATTATATATATGTGTGTGTATGTGTGTGTGTGTGTGTGTGTGCTGGCAGATATGTGGTGAGAGGGAAACTATTGTACTCAAAGATCTACAAATAGAACTACCATATGATCCAGCAATCCCATTCCTGGGTATCTACCCAAAGGACATGAGATAGCTTAATCAGAAAAGTGCTTGCACATCGATGTTTCTTGTGGCATTATTCACAATTGCTAAGACATGGAACCTACTTAAAAGTTCATGAAAAGAAGAATGGACTGAAAAAGTGTAGCACTGTCCTCACTTTATGGCTGAAATTGGAAGATTCGAGGATACAGAAACATGGAAAATAGTTACAGATACTGGATACTGTGTGGGAAGAGGGTGGGAGAAGGAGAAGAGTCTGAGAAAAGACATTAAGGAGAAAGATAGAGAGACAAGGCATTTATGAAACACAGAAATGGATTATTATCTGTTGATGGTAACATGTATTATATCCCTAACTGGACTGAGAAATGTATTCATGTTGGAACATTCACTTAGCTTATAAGCTAAATGATGTACAGTAATTGAGTGTATAAAAGAAATTAAAATAAAATAAAATATATTGAATTAAAATAAAAAAACAAATCAGAAAGCCATTTTGTGGTTGGGTACAACAGATTCCATGACTTGTTTTTCTTCTCTGAATTCCCATAATAGAAACAGTCTGGATGACCCAATCTATTGTTTTGAAGTATTTGCTAGATGTTACATGAAGTATATCTTATCTATATAATTACAGAGACAAATATTTTCTATTTGTGTATCTTGCAGAATGACTAACACAATTCTGGGTACATTGTAGGCATATAAATCTTGATTAGAAAGCTCTGGTATCTTCTCAGTCTTTATTTTCTCTTTAGACAATTGTAAAATAGAACTATCCTCAATACTAACATTATAATATTATATACATATTATGTGAATATGTATATAAATGCACAGGCACTCACATCAGTGTGCTCTAGATTGAAAAAAAAAACAAGAATAGGTGTGTTGAATCAGAAGAATAATGACTTTCAATTACCTCATAGTAATAAGATAAAAATTCTCATTATTAAATGGCAATAATTTACCATTTTCAATAAACAAGAGTATATTCCTTGCTTTCTCACCTCTATACTAAATACACTATTCTTTCTACTACATATTTTCATCCATTTTTTT